CTGTCAGATCTTTTTCTCCCCACTGGTTCCTTATTAGCTGTCTGTGCTCCATGGTTATTCTGATCGAAACACACATATCCAAAGCTTAAAAGATAACATCAAGATCTAAGAGAAGCACACAGTATTTGTCTGTTTATTCTGGGTTACTTCACTCAGGATGGTTGTTTCTAGCCCCATCCATTTAGCATTTAGAATTTTACTTTTCTAAAGAGCTGAATAATATTTGATTGTGTGACTGGAAATTTCATTATCCAGTCATCAACTGATGAACATCTGGACTGTTTTCAGTTTGTGACTATTAGAAAAAGAGCAACAATGAACGTGGATGAGCAAGTATATCTGCAGTAGGATATAGAGTCCTTTGAGGATGTACCCAAGGCTGTTGTAACTGCATGTTGGGGTGGATCAGCTTTTTGAAGAATCTCTACGTGATTCACATAGCGGCCAGACCAGTTTGCATTCCCACCAAGTCCCCTTTCCCCACAGCCTCGCCATCATGTGCTGGCATTTGTTTTCTTGATCTTGGTCATTCTCACTGAGGTAAAATGAAATTTAAGAGTAGTTTTAATTTTAATTTCCTTAAGAACCAATGATGTTTGAAGTCACCGTAAGGAGAATGGGATCCCACAACGATAATTCCTCTAGAACTATGGCAACACCACTAAGCTAAAGAAAAACAGCACCTAAGGATTGGCTGTGGATAACAAACTCCTCAGAATAATTTCGAGGTGGCTATCTGAGATGATCCAGTGTGTTGTTCAGCTTCCATGAGTTCATCTACTTTCTGTTGTTGGTGATCAGCTAGAATACAGTTAGGGTACAGGGTGTTGTTTCAATTTTCTTTTATGGTTGAGATTGCTTTATGTCTTAACATAAAGACATAAACAGTTTTGGAGAAAGTTTGATGGGCTTTAGAGAAGAAAGTGTTGCTTTAGCCTTTGTATGGAATGTTCTGAAGATGTCTGTTAGGTGCCTTTGACTTATGATGTTATTCAGAGTTTCTCTATTTAATTTTTATCCATATTACCTGTCTATTGACAAGAATGGAGTATTGAATCTCCCACTATCACTGCGTGAGGGTCCATTGTGATTGAAATATTGTTTCTTTTATGAACTCGAGTATGCTTTAGTTTGGTTCATATATGTTTAGAATTGTAGTATCCCCTTAGTGAATTTTGTCTTTAATGAGTGTTAGTGCCCTTCCCTGTGTCTTCTGATTAGTCTTGGTTTGGTGTCGATTTTTGTCACACATTACAGGAACTATTCTTACTTACTTCTTTGGTCCATTTCTTGGACTACATTTTTCATCCTTTTACCCAAAGGTGATGTCTGTCCTTGGTGGTGAAGTACGTTTCTCAGGCACAGCAGAAAGACTGAACCTTTTCTAATCCAGTGTGCTTATCTGTGGCTTTTTAGTTAGGAATTAAGACCATTAGGTTGAGTTATTAATGAACACTGTATATAAATTTCCATAATTTTATTTTGGTGGTGTGAGGTTTTTCCTCCTCTTTTGATTAACTATTCTGATATTATTTGCTTTTTGTGTCCTGTTTGGTGTAGTTAACCTTCTCCAGACTGAAGATTTCTTTCATGTCTTTTGTAGAGCTGGATTGGTGGACAGAATTATTTACATTTGTTTCTATCTTATACTGATTTTTTTCTCTGGTGTGATTTATTGTTGACTGGCTATAGTAGTTTGGGCTGTCATCTGTGACCTTTCAGAGCTTGTAAAACATCTAGCTTTCAGAATCTCTATTGAAAATCCAGAGGTTCTATTAGTGGTCCTGCTATATTAATGGCAGGGTCCTCTCACCTCCAAGCTTTTAATATACTTTTTTTGTATATTTAGTGTTTTGGATATTGTGTCTCTTGAGGAATTTCTTTTATACTTCTGCCTGTTTGGTGTTCTGCATGTCTCTTGTACTTCTATAGGCATCTTTCTCTAGATTGGGCAAATTTTCTTCCATGATTTTGTTAAAAATATTTTCTGTGCCTTTGACCTGGGTTTCTTTTCTTTCCTCTATTTGAATTATTTGTATGTTTGTTCTTTTCATAGTGTTCTAGATTTCCTGGATGTTGTGTGCCTGGGTTTGTTTTAGAATTAACATTGTCTTGACTTAGCAGTCCATTTTTCTACCCTTTCTTTAAGACTTGAAATTCTTTCTTCCTTGTCTTTTCGTCTGCTGGTGATGTTTACTCTGAGCTGTTTGTCTGACTCCCTCAGATTTTTATTTTCGTTTTTATTTCAGTTTGGTTTTTCATTAATGAATCTGTTTCTTACTGAATTCTACTTTCATGTCTTGAATTTTTCATTATTTGTTTCATTCATCTGTTTATGTTTTTATGGTTTCATAAAGGTATTTATTCATCTTTGAATACATTCATTATTGTTATTTTCAAGCCTTTGTCTTGTACATCAGCTAAATTGCTTTCTCAGGGCTATTGTAATAGGGTTGCTGGCTTATGGAGGAAGTGTATTGTTTTGTGGTTTTTCACTGGGGTTGATGTATCTGGAGTTAAGCTATTTGAAGTGGTTCTTGCTGTAGATATCTGATATTGCGTTTGTGGGTTGGGTGTTCCATTCTTTGGTTGCTGTTGCCCACTTTGGGTCCTAGCCAAATGTTACAGCAGAGACATCCCTGATAGAGTGAGAGTCACAAATGAATGGTAGGTGTGGTGAAGGGGAAGAACTAGAGAGGTCCTTGCCTCTGGTCTATACCAAGAGGCTAAGTCCCAAAAGGATGACCGTGGGGCTGGAAGGAGGGGCTCAAGTGGTTGGGCAGCAGCAGGTCTAAGAGTAAGTCTGGAGAGCCTGGACTTGAGGGTGGGGAGGTGAATAGAGGTCATTTGTCTGAGTCCCAGCTAACTGTAACAGCTGCAGGTCCCTAAGCTGTTCTATGGGTTGATGGAGAATCATAAAGGCACGGAGGTAGGTTAGAAGGACTGGCTGTAAGGGGCAGAGCGGAAGAACCAAAGGTTCTCGGACTCTGTCCGGGTCCAAACCAACAGCTATTTTTCCATTTTGCATCCAAGGCAGACATTGCCAATTGACTCTACTTTCAATGTAATCTTGGATTTTCTCAAAATTTTAATAAAGTAACAACTAACTAAAGTTATTATGCTGAGCAAAAGTCAATGTGACTGATAATAAAATTTGCTTATGGAACGTTTGGTAGCTACGCAACACACCCATGTGCTAGGAAACTTTTGTTTGTATTGTTTCTTTTACATCAAGAGTTTTGAATGAAAACATGAAAGCCATGAATATGAAAAATATTAAAGAGACTTAGAGTAGTGAATGTGGGCAAGAAAGGGAGTCTTAGACATATAATTTGGAGGCATAAATGATTTTATAAAGGACAGTATTGTTAGAACGAAGGCATTTTCCCAGTGCAGCATTTCTTAACCTGTGGGTCTCAACCTTTGGTCAAGGCTTTTCACAGGGATCACATATTAGATATTATGCATATCAGATATTTACATTATACTATAATTCATAATAGTAGAAAAATTACACTTATAAAAATAAGAACAAGAATAAAAATAATTTTATGGTTGGGGGTCACCACAACGTGAGGAATTATGTTAGAGGCTCACAGCATTAGGAAGCTTGAGAATCAGTGCCCTAGTAGGTTGTATGTCTATGAGTGCAGTGCTTATATTCACATGCCTATGGCATTATTTCATGCTTAGTTCATGTTCATCATACATTTGAAAACTCATGCAATGTGAGTATTGAACAATGGTAACAACATAGAAACAGGAATGTATGTGAGTAAGCTAGTTTATGAAAACCTGATGTCAGTGACCCCAGAGGTTACAGGGAATTGTGAGGCCAAGTGTGGGTGCCGGGAACCAAACCCAGATCCTCTGTAAGAACAGCCAGTGCTGTTAACCACTTAGCCGGCTCTCCATTTCACTTCCATCATTTTATGAACTGTAGTTTTGAAAGCATTGTCTTTATAGAAAGCATACCAGTTTCTTTGATTCAGATCTCCTTATGTTCAGAGAGTTAGTCAGATTAATTGTTCTTCTTACAAGGCTCATTGTGATCCATTTTTGATCCCTATAATAAATTGATTACTGGAACAGATATGATGAAAGCTTGGCATGTTCTATCTTTTTATGTATAACTTTCTAAGGAATTCTGTTAATGCTAATATTTTATAAAATGGCCTGTTTCTATTTTGGGAGTGAAATGAAGTAAATGATTGATTGGTGATGTCGACTCAAGACAACTGTCTGATGCAGCAAACAGCTCCATTGGAGTCCTAATCTTGCTATTTTATTGACTGGGTTTACCATGGAGAATGGTAGCGACATGGGAGCGAGAGTCTGGATGTCAGCTGTGAGATCAGATAGGGTATGTTATCCTGGGCATCACCAGCCCTTCTGCTTCCAGAGGTGGAAGAGGCCAAAATGCCACTGGCCTCAGGCTATGAAGTTTAATGTGTAAAACTTATCTAGGAGCAAATGAGGGAAAGGCTTTTGTTATATAAGATGCTACACTGGGGAACAATACAATAAATAAGTAAAAGAAAAAATAAAAGTCAAAAGTTTACAAACAGAAAACTGCTGTTATATTATATTGCCATTGTTTTGTGTTACCTTGGTAACTGTGAGTGGGATAACTGCCATCACTCTATTACTGGAAAGTCTGCCTTGTAAAAACCAATGTATTTCTAGAACTTTGTTCTTAGTTTATCACCTTTTCTCGGGACAAATAACAGTCCACCACAGAGTTTAGAATACTGTAGTCTTATGTGGATTTCCAGGCATTATCAGAGCATATATTCCTATATAATTAAATGATTTCAGGGAGATCTGGAGAAATATCACAGACTAGATAAAGTTCTCCTTGGTTAGCTCAGTTCCAGCCTGACAGACTCCTTTACAATACTTTACTAATGCTGAAGAGTTTTGCACCCACCCAGGATACCAGAGTCTTCGCTGTTACAGAGCACAACGGTGAAACATTGAATGCTCTTCTTTCTCTACAGTGCCTCCAAAGCCATTACACCTGCAGAATTTACCTTCATCCCATACACCCCAAGTCCCCAGGCATAAAGCTTTACCGAGTGCAAAACCAAGGATGGAGGAAGCTAATCCAGCCCCTACGTCCTGTGCCTCAAAAGGGAAGCCTAGTAAGGTGTCAGACCTCATCAGTCACTTTGAAGGAGGCAGGTAAGAGTTACCGTGTAAGGGGGGGTGGGGGGAAAGATGGCCTTTGAAAGTCATAGTATCTTACTAAGTATCCAGTCTTTAACAAGTACATTTCAAAAATCAGTTCCATGATCCTGCATTAATGGTAGGCATTAACATTTATTGCCTGTGCCTGTGTCATTCTGAGTAACTGCTGTGGCCATGCTGCTGTCCACCCTTGGTAGTAAGGCCACCATGTCATCTCTGACTCCATTGTCCTCACTCTCTGAGGAGCTGCCTCCTGTGCATTCTTGCCTTCCTGGGCGCTTTCTAGTCTTTCTGACTCATTTCACTTAACAAGAGGCTACTATACCAGTTCGGTCTGCCGCTCTCTTCTTATTGCTATCTCATGATAAGAGAGATATCATTACTAAACACAAAACTCATGCTAAATACCCATTTCATTCTCAGAGAGAGAACTTTATATTCTTTAGTTATAATGTATGGGCAAAATGTGTTTTTCTCATAGAAGAATAAAAACCAGATCCATATAAGTTGCTTTTCTACTTGTACTGCCTAAATTGTTTTATTGTAGAATTGTTTTATGTCACTAGAAATCCAAACAGAATGTATATAATTTCACTTATACCCATGAAGGCAAATATTTTCACTCATTCAGGTATAATATTGAGATATGAGATATAATTTCCCATTACAATAAATCACTTTTTAAAAAAAATTACTATTTTATGTGTATGGATGTTTCATGTGGACTATTACATGAACTTTCAAGTTTTTTAATATATATACATATATATATATATTAACATTATAGTCAGGAATATTTGAGGGATGTACTGGGAAGCATGAGCAAGCACAAAACTACAATGTCTTTCATTCAAAATTCAAAATGTAAGTAGAAGCCAGCTGGGGGCACAGGCCTATAAACACAACACTTGGGGCCGAAGGTGGGGTGTCCAGAGTTTGAGGAGAGCCTGGCCCCTATTGCAGAACTCTCTCAAAAACAAAACAAGAAACTAAAATGCAATGTATTTACAAGATATTATACTTAATATAATAGTTACAACTTCTGGAGAAAAGTGATTAAAAGTCTATCTTCGTTTTTCATTCTTGACCAGTTGTGGTATCTCCTATAAATCCTAAATACCTCTGAAGGGAATTTATAATGCTTTTGATAGCTAAAATTGTAGCAATATTTAAAGGAATGATTAAGTTCCTTTCAGTTTTCTTCTCAGAGTGGATTGATTCAAAAACAGAAGAGAGATCCTTCCAGTTACAGATTCCATAGCCACTAAAGTGGCTGTAGAATGTAAGGCGGTCTGGAGACTGAGCCTGGTGTAAAATCCCAGGGCGTGCAGAGACCTCAAAGGATTCAATATTCCGAAGGCTGAGGTCTCTAACTCTGATCAATTTTGTGTCCCATTCATTGTGTTGTTTGAATTTATCTCTCCAGGTAAAATGTGGACAGTTTCTATACTGTCTTAGGGAAGGGTGCATTGTCATTCATGGTCCTAAGCATATGTAGGATACCACATTCGTGTTTGGGCCAGGCTTCGCAGGAATTCTGCTTGTGGTGGAGTCCATTGCAAGTAACAACATTGGTCTGCTGCTATACAGGTGGAGCCAATGTCAGGCATTCAAATCCACTGGGGGAAAAAAACCAAAGGCTTAGACTAAATTCAAATTTATATTAAATGAATTTGTAATTACTGCTAGCAGAAGAATGGCAGCCTTAGAACCAAACAGTGAACCATTCAGAAGGGGGGTGAAGGTGAGGTTGTCAGGGACCAACCTTGACAAAAATACCTCTTGCCAGGGCTTGGGGATTAGAAGTATAGCAAAGAATATGAAGACGCAAATGAAAATAATAAAATGGAGAGACATAAAGGTAGTATTGGGTGGGAATTCTTCAGTGAATACTGAAAAATTGCCCACATTTAATTTCCAACTGCTGAAAATACCCCTGACCCCAAAAGGTAGGAGTAAGACAAAAGGCTGCATTAACATGATACAAAGAAATGAACGCGCCAATTCAAAGTTGCGGGCTACATTCATAGGTAAACATTCTGTTGCTAGAACAAAACAAGTCACCAAGTCATGCTCACGCCAGAGACCAAAACATTCTGTAGGCACACCGCTCCCTGGGTAGGGTTCCAAGTTATCTCCATAAAGGGAACTGGAACTTAGTTGGATCCTTAGACTTTTGTTTGAGGTAGGAACACATCTACTTCTCTATTCCTGGAGCAAATGGTCTGGCAGTTAGCCACACCTGCTGACAATAATCTTGAGAAAGCAGATCTCCCTGATTTACAACTACCTGGGACCTTTGTCTGAGGTAGAAGCACAATAACTTTGAAAGAACTAGAAATAAGTCCCGGCTCTCTGACTTTGGTCCATGTGGAAATAGGCTCACATTTCAGGCCTCCGCGTGAGGTTTGAAGGCAGACGTCGAGAAGGTGTGCACTGTAACTCTCCGTGGACTCCACAGCAGGGCAGGAACCTTGTTTCACTTCCCTCAGTTGTTTCTTCCTTTCTCGCTGTATAGTAATAAGAAGACCATTTCCTCACTCTCCGTAGTGATAGCGAGCTGTACAGAAGCAAAGGCAGCTGTTAATACTCAGCCCATTATCCTACTATTTCTGTTTTTGAGACAGGGTTTCTCTGTGTAGCTCTGGTTGTCCCAGAACTCACTCTGTAGACTGGGCTGGCCTCGAACTCCCAGAGATCCGCCTGCCTCTGCCTCCCAAGTAGAGGGATTAAAGGTGGGCACCACCACCACTCCAGACTCCAGTATCCTATTCTTATCTCACCTGCAGGCCACTAGGATCCCTCAGGCATTCCAGAACCAAAGATCAACACACCATGTGCCCGGCTGCATGCTAAGTCTCTTTAGCCATCACATGGGTATATTATTCCTCAGGTGTCGAACACTTGAATGACATTTCTTGGCAGGTATAAACACAGTGCCATCAGGTTAGGGCTGGCTGTCGTGTCCCCACAGCAGGACAGCGGCCCTAAAAGGGTCTGCAGAGTGGGTTAATACTGAGTTGACTTTACTGCTGGCTAATGCCCACAAGCCTGCAAGCTGCTTTTCAGTTCTGATCCCTGTGAGGTGGCCCAGCAGGAGTAGCTCTTACCCTGCACACCTGAGCGCTCTCTCTCTCTCTCTCTCTCTCTCTCTCTCTCTCTCTCACACACACACACACACACACACACACACACACACACACACACCAGTAATAAATGCTTTTTAAAGGACCAGCTAGCGGAGTGTCATACTTGGATGAAAGTAATGCCATTCTGTTAAGTAGAATGATTTGGAGCCAGTAGATGTTACTTTATTTTCTTTTTTGCTGGGGCTTTCTTTTTCTCACATTTTTCCTCCTCCTGGAGTTAAAAAAAATACTCTTTTTTAGTTTAGAAAAACTTCATGGTTTTAAAAATAACATTTTCCCACAGACAAGCACTGGGCTTTCCCAAACACACTGCATGGCTAACTTCACTCCCTACCCCCACCCCTACACACACCCACTTGCTGGGCTTCCACAGGCTCCAGAGTCTCCTGAGAACTAGTTTAACTACTGCTTTCCCCTCTCCAACTTATTGCTCCTGGTACAAATGTACTTTTGTGTAGGACCCCGCCTTCCTGTGGATACCCACACCCGATCCAGGCGCGCGCGCTTTCCCGAACTCGGGCCCACGAGAATGGACGATTGTCCTGAGGGTTTAAAACAGACACACACAAAAGAGACCTGCTCACTTACCAAGAGTAAATGGCCACTTTATTAAACTCAAGTCGGGTATTTATACCAGTGGGCAAGAGGGATCAAAAGGGCAAGGCCTCCTCCCATCAGGAGCAGGAGAAGGAGATTAAAGGCCCCGGCGCCTCAGGCAGAATCAGCTGGGAGGGGCAGGCTATGGGCCCATTGCTAGAACCTTGATTACAGGTGGAATCACCATAGCAAAGAGAGCCAAATTCTTCCTAAGCTATCCCCTCAAGCCAGTGCTAGTGCAAAATCTCCAGGGAGCTGGAGTCACACGGCCCTGCAAATAGCCAGAAAGAAGAAAAAAAGACCTTGGTACCTACACCTTTGATGTCACTTACTACAGTAGATTGCTGGCTGTTTTCCCTGGCATTCCTTTTGAAGACGACAGAAACTGGACAGCTTGGCTCATCTCTGAGGATTTTCTCGCAAATTATAAAGACTCAATATACACTATGTATCAAAGGCAACCACAGCAGAATGCACCACACTCATGTAGACTGGCCACTTCCAACTTTTTATGTATAAGCATTTCTCCTTCTGAAATGTTTTCCCTTTATTATTGTGGCTCTGGTGTTGAACTTGGACCATACTCTTTTTCTGATTCCTTTCTCTGTTGCGAACTATCACTATTTGACTCTTCCGTTCCTCAGTCTGCAGCAGCAGTGACAGGGTGGGGTGATCGGGATGGAGGGAGAAGGTGACAGTACATCTCAATACTTTCGAAAGTGTCTTGCCTTAGTGCACTTCTCCACCCCATCACCCAGCTTCCACCTTACTGAAGATGGTAACCAGTCTTAGATTTTTGTTGGCAGCTTATTCATCTGCTCCTCGGTCCATCTAAAATGTTTCCTTGTAACGTGGGGCAAAGGTGATGAGATTTAGAGCTGGACTTCATAGCTTGAATTCTGGTTTTGCCACTTGGTAGCCAGGTGACAATGGCAGTGTGAAGGAATCTTTCCTGTTTATGGGCCCCTCTTTGGGAATTATTGTAAGAGTAAAACCCCATGGCCAGGGTGACGGCCTAGGTAGTTTGAGGCACTTAGCGGCTACTTCGCAGATGCTGCCTGCTGCTGTGTCACTGTGCAGGATCATCACAGTAATCGCTAATCTATCAGGCATTTGTCGAACTCTTCACACATCAAGCTAAGTGTGGGAATAAAGCTGGGAACCAGACAATACCACGTTCATGCTCATAAAGTGTTAGTCTGTTTCAATTTCTTTTTAATTATGTCATAGAAGTTTCTCAGACTATAGTTTTGAGTTTATGTTCCTTCTCTCATTTTGTAGGTTAAAAGTAGAGGTTAAAATGTTACCGCTGTCTTGGGGGCCCCTCTAGCTGCATAGGGCTTTAATAAGAAGCCACAGAGTCAGTGAGACTAGACTTTTCTGTCTGAGGGGGGCTGGGGGAAAAGCTCTCTCAGTGGTTCCCTTCTTTTTTGTTATTATTGTTATTATTATTATTTTATAAAAGTTTATTAATTTATAAAAGTTTCCATTTCCGCCCCTCCTCCCAACACCCTCCCACTCCCTCCACTCCCTCTCCTCCTCCCTCTCCATTCCTAAGGGCAGTCAGGGCTTCCAGCCCTGTGGGAAGTTCAAGTTCCTCCCCCCTCCCTCCAGGTCCAGGAAGGTGAGCATCCAAACAGACTGGATTCCAAAAATTCAGTATATGCAGAGGAAACAAGTCCCAGTGTCATTGTCAATGGCTTTTCAGAAAGACCCCGAGCCAGCCACATTCAGAGAATCCGGCCACATTCAGAGAATCCGGCCACATTCAGAGAATCTGGTTGGATCACGTGCTCGTTCAGTCCCAGTCCAACTGGCCTTGGTGAACTCTCATTAGATCAGGCCCCTTGTATCAGTGGGTGAAAGCACTCCTCACGGTCCTGCCTTTCTTGTTCATGTTCTCCCTCCTTCTGCTCCTCATTTAGACCTTGGGGGCTCAGTCCAGTGCTCCACTGTGGTTCTCTGTCTCAATCTCCATCCATCAACGGGTGAAGGTTCCCTCTGGTCTTGCCTTCTTTGCTCACGTTCTCTTTCCTTCTGCTTCTCGTTTGGACCAAGGGAGTTAAGTCCAGTGTTCCAATGTGGGTGTGGTTTCCTTCTTTATTCTCTCTCTCTTTATTGTCTCTTTTCTCTCGTGTTGTTTTACAGCTTTTGTACCCCAACAGTACCTTCCAGGCAGTACAAGAGGCAAAACAGTTGCATTCCATTTTCAAGTGAGTGATTGTAGGTAAAAACATGTTTTCCATCTCCCTCACGTGATTGAACATTTCATGAATTACAGGTGAGAGCAAACTATCCCAAGAACCCACATGCATTCATACTCAAGCAGCTTGTTATAGATTAACCATGTGGCAAGCAAGGTGTTTTTGTCAGGTCTTTTACTGGTAGGCTGCAGTTTGCAGTTACAAAGAAAGGGCCAATTACTTTATTACTTATCATATAAGGAATCTTAAAGGAATCACAAACCTAAACTTTCATATATGATAAGGAATCAGTCAGCTCTGCTTTAAATCTTTAGGGTACATATATATATATATATTTCTTTTCAGGAGTTTGAGGGCAGAAATGGGTATAAGGACTTTCGTCACCAGCCAGAACTAACAAGGAGAGCACGTCAGCCAGTAATAACTGGGCTGCTTTGTTCTTGCTCCCTGACCTTAAAGAGTTCTGCATTCAACTCTGTGCCTGTCTAAACTTTAGATTGTCTTCTTGGGTTTTTCACCTCAAAGCTATTTAACAAAAATATCTTAGTCTAAGTTTGTTATTTTTCGAAGCTTTGTTTCAGCTGTGATGCACTCCGAGACCTGTGAACACGTCTCTCAACATTCAGGTTAAAAGAATTTAAACTAGCCAGCCTATTGGGATTTAATTGTTAGTCATTAACTTGAGCTACAATCCATGCAGCTCTTTAGGCGAGACTCACAGATCCTGGCTGTGAAACATATCCTTGTTTTTATTTTCATCCATTAAAACTCTGTATTGGCTATCACTATTATTATCAAATCCGACAGTACAGCTAAGGAGGGGTTATCTTGACAATCCGCAGGTAAGAATGCCCAGTAGAACGGGATGTTTCCAAGCAATAAACACATTATATCACAAGCAATGGATCTCTCCCTAGGTCCACTCACACCATGCTAGATACCAGAGAAAGAGAGCCGCAGCAAACATGTAAAGACACAGGAGAAGCAAAAGACATTCCAGGATCTGCAGTCCTGACGCCTTGCCTAAACGAGTTGGGCCCATCAGAGGATTCCCTTCTGGTGCGCTGATACCAGGAATTTCAACTACAACTCGCTGCCCCTCTGGCATTTCCAACAGCAAAATATTGTACAAATATTCCCATAGGAACATAATTATGTATTGGGAATGAGGTTCTATTGTCCAGTTAGTACTGTCATGATTACTACAGTAGACTATCAACAGTAATAAGGTCTTAAAAATGACTAAAAGAAGATTTGAGAAAGGGATGAAGTGTACTTCTTAGATAGACCAGCAAGAAAGGGTTCTCAAAAGGCCTGGGTGACAGAGGGGGAAGTGCACTTTACCAGTGTCCCAGGGAAGATGTGCTGGGCAGAAACCCTAACACGCACACAAATGGATAACTACAGAAGTGGGGCAAGGCCACAGTGAGGGCACAGACTGTCCCAGGAGATGGGAGATGCAGGAGCTGGGGAAGGCTAATCTGACAGATGTCACGGATGCATCTGTGGACTCTTGCATGTATAAGGATCTGATTTGTGAGGACTGGATTGGAAAGATCAAGAACAAAATTGAAGAGGACCATCGGTGATCAGCTAGCAGCTACTCTCCTATTTATTATGTATAATAAAGGTTTAAAAATGTTGCTGCTTTCCAAATCAAACTAACTTGGGTTTATAACAAGTTTATAAACCAGAAATATCTGTGCTTGTTTGCAGAAATGATTAAGAAGTAAAGATCTTGGGAAAAGGTATTCTCATGAAACAAATATTCTTTCATCTCAGTCTTTACTGAATAAGCTGTACTAGTAAACGGCTCACGGGAATGCTCTAACCAAGAAATGCTCAGGTTCGTTCGGTCTGCTTTTGGTTGCGAGCCAGCCATCGACAGCTGAGCCACCTCCAGCCTCCCCTCTTTGCTTGTTTAAATGCCACTTGTGTCCCAAGAATCTGTGTTTCCAAAACCACCATGAATAAGAATCGTCTCTTTTAACCGGAATTGACTTGTCTTCATGCTAAAACTGTTCATACCAATGTTTCTTTTTCTATTTTATCTTATAGTGTTTTGTCAAGCTACATCGATTTGCAAAAAGATTCTACAGTGAACCTAAATATTCCTCAAACTCCAGGACAGCATGGATTGACCTCCACACCTCCACGGAAATTCCTAACCCAGCACTCTCCACAGAAGCAGCAAAATGATACAGATCAGACTCGGGGCCAGCACAGTGGTTTGGCCAATGGTGTGGTGGCCGCACAAGGCCGGACGGAATGTGAGGACAGGAACACAACGGTGAGGAGCCCAGAGGCTGCTATTCCAAGTGCTGAGACCTCTCCTGACACACACTTGGTGAATGGAGAAGGAAATGAAACTGCCACAGATTCTGTATCATCCATAACCAATAGCCATGATGAAGATGCTTCTGACAGCAGCCGCCGGACTCCGGGTGCTGACTTAGGGCTGCCCTCCAAAGGAGGAGGGTCAGGGATGGAAGCTGAGCTACCAGAGAAGGAGAATGGCGTGAACACCATGGAACTGGATAAGCTGGACCAGCACCATGAAATGAAGGTAAGCATAAGCTGTCTCATTGCATGGGAAGCATGGCCAAGTGTCTTATGGTCCAGGCTGTTTCACAGCACCTGTGAAATGCATATCTCGGGTTATCCACACCAGCAGATAAACCATTTGCAAGCTCTGGGAGCTACTGGGTTCTACCCTGTCTCAGAAGTGTTTCCCTTTTCCTTCCTGTGGCTTCTTTTGGTCGTTGTGTTGTGATTTCTAAAAGCATGGTTGTATTGTAGACAAACCACAGCAACCACATTGTTTCTACTTAGGAGGCAAATGTTCTTTGTGACTCTAGATTTTGGTGCTATAGACCAGTGTTGTTTCCCTGGTGTGAAAACCACAAACCTAAATAGGAAAATACAGGAAATACTAGCTGCCACAGCCAGGGGTGTCACCCTAGACAAGGGTGGGACTGTAAGAAAGTGGCCCAGCGCCAGGAGATGAGAGTGATCTGAGACCACATCCCTCACAGTGAAGCACGGCCTCACACGGAACCGCTTCAGTGTGTGCGCAATAAATAGTTCAGGTTCCTGGGGCGACACAGTAGAGCTGAGCTCACATCAGATAGAAAATTTTGCTGGCTGTATTTTATCAGACTTTTAAGAAAATCTTTTTTTAAAATGAAAAAGAATATTAGTGATCAAGCAGAACCAGAAAATCTTGAGACTACTTCTGGCTCATCCATTAACTCATAGGTATTTTTGTATGCCAGCTATAGATTGTTTTGGTCTTGTTTATTTCAGTATCTTACTTTGGGATTTTAATTACATTGGCTTTCATGCCATGCTTTGGATATGTTGTAGCAAAGGTGTCATGTTAAGTTTTGTTCTGAATTTCCCTAGTCTTTAACATGCTATGTATTTTTCTGAAAATGAGCTAGAATTCTCTTGCTCAGTCTTTCTCATTGATTATACTAAATAAAATTAAAACTTTGACAATTGTGGAAACATCATCAAATAGAAAATCCAAATCTTTAATCTATTTCTGATCATTTATGCTTATATGCCCTAGCATCAGCAGACACTCTTAAGGAAAGGACAGATTCTACAATGTTAACGTGCTGAATGGTGGTTGTATTTAGTACACTGGCTGCAGTGTAATCAACGAAGGTTATAATTCTAAGCAGTTGGTGGGGAGAAAGTGACTCATGCTTCACACCATTGTCTGAAAAGCAAAGAAACACAGCAAAGGGATTCTTCTTGTTTATCAGTCGGCGGGAAAAGTCTGGTGTTTCTGCACATGAGAAATGGTGACAGGAAGAGACAGGCAGAAGCATGTTGTCTTTCATAGATGACAGGAAGAGTCAGGCTGAAACACCTTGTCTTTCACAGTTGACAGGAAGAGACAGGCAGAAACACCTTGTCTTTCACAGTTGAGATGATGTCCTCAGGGATCATCTGTGATGCAGCAAGTGCAGCTCCCATGCAGGAACTTTGGTGGTGGCTTCTGCGGTTGGTTACTAGCTCATTCTCTTTCCTTTGTGTTACCTGTTGGAGCTGCATATTCTTAGATGACTTTTACTTGACTTAAGAGAGAGAATGCAATTTTCTTTTTCTTTCTTTTCTTTCTTGGAAATAGATATTTTTTTCATACAAATATATCCTGATTATTCTTTCCCCTCCTGTTTCTCCCAGATCATCCCTATTTCTCCATCTGTTTCTCACTAGAATACAAACAGGAATCTAGAAATAAGATAGGAACAAATACAGCAGAATAGGACACAGCAACCCTTTTTTTTTTTTTGCAAAGCCAATGAAGCATAGAGTAATACAGGGCCTTTCCTTGAGAGTCAGTGGATGGCACATGTGGTGTGGGGTGAGCTGTTGATCCAAACACCACCAATATCAGCATGGTGGTAGTATGTAGTATGTTGCCTGCTCCTTCTCTGAGACTTGCCACATTGTTTCATTATCTCAAAATGAAATATGTTAATGGTATAAGGACAGTATATTTTGTTAATTTTGTTAATTTGTGCATTTTACCACAATTAGGAATAAGAAAGTTCTTTTTAAATTTTTTAGTAGAATATGGTGGAGTAAGCAGTTTGAACAAGGAAGAAGTAATAATGCTCCTTCTGGCTCGTGATTGGACAAGCCAGTAAAACTGTGTAGCTAAGGGATATAAACTGCATGATCACAGAGCCCTTTTCCGTGATAGCGTAGTAATTCTTTGTAGTTCTGTGTGATAAATTCCCTTGGTGACCTTCAGATTGTCCAATGCTTCTTGGACTTTCTAATGTGATGAACTTTTAAGATATAATGGAAGATTTAAAATTCATCATGCACACAACTGAAAAAAATAATTACTGTCTTTATATGAGGGGGTGAAGAATTTCAGATAGATCTCATTTAAACAAATATTCAACCTAATGGCCATTTTCCTGAGAGCTGGTTTGAAAGTTCTAGTGGATAGCATACCTCAGTAAGGCATTCTCATCTTGCTTCCTCTGTGTCTGGCTGGTGACTGACTCTGCCTTTCCTCTTCCCAGAATTCTCCATGTCTGTTCACCCCGTCTATACTTCCTGTCTGGACACTTGGCCAATTAGCATTTTATTAAACAAGTATGAGCTACAAATCTTTACAGTGTACGCAAGCATTATCCCAACATTTTTCTTTTTTTTTCCTTTTCAAAAATAAGAACCCTGAATCTAATCTCCTTTGTTTAGCCTTTTTCCTGACTATTACCCATAACTTGTAATCCACACTCTAAACAAAAACAGACATCCATAATCTATTTTTTGGGAATATGAGCGTAGTTTTCTAGGCTATGTTCTGCTAATTGGGGGCACTGGTAATCTTTGTGGGACCCTGAGAAAATTTAGGATTATGGCAAAATCCTGACTAGAGTATTCCATGAGGCTGGATCACCTCAACTTTGAAGCTGTTCTAGATATAGAACTCAGAGGAAACTGCAACAGAAGTGCTCTGAGATGTTGGATCAGCTGGGCCATCCGCTCCTATCTAAGGTTTTTCAGGGGGTCCACCTCGATCTGAATCCACAGCCTCTCATTTCCCGTGGAAATAAAAGCAGAACCTCTTTCCCAAAATAACATGTCTTTTGACTTAAGTTTTGAAGTCAAGATTTTTTAAAAATATATAGGTTGGTTTAATCCAGCAGCATTTATAATCCAATGTCTTTAGCAGCTGTTGTTCCTTTCTCAGCAGTCAAACAACTCAAAGGCATCTCAGTAATATACAGTATCCATCATATTCTCTGTGTGTTTTCCATCTTTATGTGATTTTTTTTGTTACTCTATTTCTTTTCTTTTTTTTAGGGACTTTCTCTATCCTTTTTCTTTTCTCTCTCAAGCCTATGTATATTTTTAAACATACCGTAAACCATTTAGAGATTTTTTTATAAATGGCTAACATTTATCCATTAAAATGCATGTACTTAAGAAGTGGCAATCATTTTTAATTAAATTTCTTCTAAAACGTGCTAAACACATATCTTTTCTCTCATTGCAGAGCGTGCTTAATTTAGTTTAAGCACTTATGAAAACTAAACTTTGCTCCAGATAGGAACTAGGGTACCGTCGCCTGTGACATCCTTGGCACATATTGGGCTGAATAAACTGCCTTCTTGTCCCCAGAACTGAGGGTCGTAGCGTTTTCCTTACCACAGTAGACCTAGCTGACTCCAGTCTTCTTCTATAAGGATGGGGAGGTAGCCCCTCACGATCTGGAAGGGACCATGTTAGTTACTTTTCTCATTACTGTGGCAAAGCAATGAGAATAACCTAAAGGAAGGATGATTTGTCTTGGCCACCGCATGAGGGCGCAACCCAGTCTGAGAAGAATGGAAACGGGCAGCTGGCCGCAGTAAGCCCGTGACCAGGAAACTGTGGAAACAGGCAGCCGGCTACAGTGCACCCGTGACCAGGAAGCGTG